CAAATTTGACTAATATCACAACTGCCTGAGTTGCCAGAAATTCTGCAGGTCCACCAGGCTCACTTCTACCCCAGTAGCCATCAGGATCCACCCCAACCCCTGCTGCTCACCTTGTATCTGTGGAGTGATATGACAGAAACCTTCCCAATGTCCAGTTCCTCAAACAGGAAGCGGAGTCGGGGCCCAAGGCCTTCCCCTATGAGGCGCAGGGGCAGCCTGGTCTCATGGCCTGGGGAGAGATTTCTCTTTCAGTACAATAATTCCCTATATTATCCTGCATTTTCCAGGCTGCCTCAATGCTATTCCCTGACTCTGAGCTGGATAGAACCAGGTCTTGATTCTCCCAGAAAAGACATGGCCGCTTCTCTTCCCTCAGGAGATATGATATGTCCATGGAAATCATCCTTTCTTCTGCCCCTCTGTTGATACTGGAACTTTAGGAGATGCCAGAAATTTTGTTCTTCCTCCTTCCAGGTTTGTTTCCTTATTTCAATTCTATTTGCCCCCAAGGGACCTTAACTCTGGGCTGATTCCTACCTTGACAATCCAAGGGATCAGCTCCGGTCTCAAAGGGATGGATGTGTGTGTGGATGTGTCTGCATCACTTAAATGACTTCCCTGAATCCTCCTCCAAGAAGCCAGCGGAAGAGTTAAGCTTCCATTGGGCCCATCAGGTCGTTCAGGAGCAGGCTCTTGTTTCTCAACACACATCATTTTGTTCCTCCAACTCCCAGACCAGCTCAAGGCTTGCATTTCACTGGTCCCTGCACTGCTTGGATTGTTCTGGAATCAGTGATCCAGAGCCAGGCATCCCTGGCCTTGCACAGGAGACCCCCCGGAAGCCACAGGGACAGTGGGCATGTGCCAGCACTGCCCTGCTGACCACAGAGCAATGACACAGGAGCCCAGTGGGGTGGAGGAGCATTTGCACCTCGCCCTCAGCATGGGTGAGAGGGGCAGGAGGGGGGAGCCATACCCGAGATGTCGCAGTAGACAGTGTGTTTGTAGACTCGGGCTTCTTGGGGTCTAAAGGTCACACTGATTTCAGCTGAAAAATTTGGCCAGATCTCTCCCTCCTAAAGCAGAAGGAGACAACAAAACTTTCATCTTCAAACATCACATTTCTGGTTTTCAGTCGCAGCCCTGTAAGCCTTTATCTAGAGAGCATCAGTGATGAGCAAGGAGAGAGCAACACTTATCAATAACATTGATAAAAGAGATTGGAAGATTTAGGCAGGTCCCTGCAGCCTGCCAGGAGCCTGCAGGGCAGAAATGCTTTGTGCAACAAGCTCTCCAGCCTCACAAGAAAGCCAGTGTCTTCCCTCAGCACATCAAGCCAGCTGAGGTGGGGATCTGCCAAGTGACCTCATGGAGGGGAGGAGGAGGAGAAGGAAGAGGAAGGGAGGTTCTCAGCTATCAGCTATCTCAGATATCACTTACCACCGGTTTAATAGTGAAAATGTCATCAAAGAACAGCATGGGATCTCCTTGCACCTTTGCCCTCTCGTTCTGGTAGATGTGGGAGAGCAGGGAAAGGCGTTCTCCACGAGTGGTGTCCGCTCTGCTCCAATCCAGAAAATTATCTGCCTGGGCATTTTCCTGCTGGCACAGCCTGTGGCAGAACCTGCAGCCACGGGGAGAGAAAACCCAGCAGATCATTTAACAGGCCACATATTCTCAGAGATAAGGGTAAGTGCAGCAGCAAAGCACTTGGGGAGGAGCAGCAGCAGCTCCTCAGCCAGAGGTTGACGCTGAGCCGTGGAGTTCCAGATGGATCAGAGGATCCCTTGTTGTTTGTTGGCACAGCAGGTGGTTTTACTCCACACTTACAAGCTCGAGAGAGATTTTGAAAGTCAGCAAAACCCTCAAGAGAGCCTCCTGGCTCAAAGCCACTGCCACAACTGAGGGAGAATCCACCAGCCACCTCAGCTGGCTTTTCCTACCACAGAGCTGCTCGGGGGAAGTAGATAAAGATCAAGATCAAGGAACACCTTGATCTTAAGGGGCTTCCCTAGGAAGGGAGGAAAAATCTGTGTTTCATCTGCAGGTTACCAGCATCACTCTTTGCTTCTTCCTTTTTGGACCTGTAGGGATAAGCAAACTCCAGCTGCCCTGTTCCCTACAATGCCTTCCACCAGAGCATCCCAGAGCACTTTCAAAACAAATAAATTAATTCACATCACATCCCTTCAGTGACATTAAAGGTTTTGCATGCATAAAAACAGAGGCCCTGAGAGGGGAAGGGACTTTGTTTTGCATCACCCAATAAACAAGTCAGGACCAGCATATGTTAGTTATATCCTTAGGCAGTGTTTCTCCCTGAAATGCATCTCTCAAACCCACCTCTGCTTCAGCTGATCCTCCTCTTCCTGAGTAGCAAAAGCCTTCCACTGGAAGCGGGCTGTGACATTACTGTGGTTGAGGATGGTCACGGTGCTGAGGTTTGACAGTGTGATGTAAGTCTTCTCAACAGTCACAGAATTCCTGTCCAGTCTGATGTGGACATTCACAGCTGACCCATGAAGGCTTGTGTGGGTATCTTCACCTGGGACAAAGCAAAGAGGAGTCTTTGCTCAGCTCACTCACTGTTGGAAGCACAAGGAACAGAGCAAACCACAGGTGACAGAAGAAAAGGTCACAGCTTTTGGCTGTATGAGCAGTTC